TATATATACAGTGGGTAAAAAAAGTATTTAGTCAGCCACCAATTGTGCAAGTTCTCCCACTTAAAAAGATGAGAGAGGCCTGTAATTTTCATCATATGTATACCTCAACTATGAGAGACAAAATGAGAAAATAAATTCCAGAAAATCACATTGTAGGATTTTTAAAGAATTATGGTGGAAAATAAGTATTTGGTCAATAACAATTTCATCTCAATACTTTGTTATATACGCTTTGTTGGCAATGACAGAGGTCAAACTTTTTCTGTAAGTCTTCACAAGGTTTTCACACACTGTTGCTGTTATTTTGGCCCATTCCTCCATGCAGATCTCCTCTAGAGCAGTAATGTTTTGGGGCTGTCGCTGGGCAACATGGATTTTCAACTCCCTCCAAAGATTTTCTATGGGGTTGAGATCTGGAGACTGGCTAGGCCACTCCAGGACCTTGAAATGCTTCTTACGAAGTCACTCCTTCGTTGCCCGGGCGGTGTGTTTGGGATCATTGTCATGCTGAAAGACCCAGCCACGTTTCATCTTCAATGCCCTTGTTGATGGAAGGAGGTTTTCACTCAAAATCTCATGATACATGGCCCCATTCATTCTTTCGTTTACACGGATCAGTCGTTCTGGTCCCTTTGCAGAAAAACAGCCCCAAAGCATGATGTTTCCACCCCCATGCTTCACAGTAGGTATGGTGTTCTTTGGATGCAACTCAGCATTCTTTCTCCTCCAAACACGACAAGTTGAGTTTTTACCAAAAAGTTCTATTTTGGTTTCATCTGACCATATGACATTCTCCCACTCCTCTTCTGGATCATCCAAATGCTCTCTAGCAAACTTTAGACGGGCCTGGACATGTACTGGCTTAAGCAGGGGGACACGTCTGGCACTGCAGGATTTGAGTCCCTGGCGGCGCAGTGTGTTACTGATGGTAGCCTTTGTTACTTTGGTCCCAGCTCTCTGCAGGTCATTCACTAGGTCCCCCCGTGTGGTTCTGGGATTTTTTGCTCACAGTTCTTGTGATCATTTTGACCCCACGGGGTGAGATCTTGCGTGGAGCCCCAGATCGAGGGAGATTATCAGTGGTCTTGTATGTCTTCCATTTTCTAATAATTGCTCCCACAGTTGATTTCTTCACACCAAGCTGCTTACCTATTGCAGATTCAGTCTTTCCAGCCTGGTGCAGGTCTACAATTTTGTTTCTGGTGTCCTTTGACAGCTCTTTGGTCTTTGCCATGGTGGAGTTTTTGGAGTGTGACTGTTTGAGGTTGTGGACAGGTGTCTTTTATACTGATAACAAGTTCAAACAGATGCCATTAATACAGGTAACGAGTGGAGGACAGAGGAGCCTCTTAAAGAAGAAGTTACAGGTCTGTGAGAGCCAGAAATCTTGCTTGTTTGTAGGTGACCAAATACTTATTTTACCGAGGAATTTACCAATAAATTCTTTAAAAATCCTACAATGTGATTTTCTGGATTTTTTTTCTCATTTTGTCTCTCATAGTTGAGGTATACCTATGATGAAAATTACAGGCCTCTCTCATCTTTTTAAGTGGGAGAACTTGCACAATTGGTGGCTGACTAAATACTTTTTTGCCCCACTGTATTTACTATAATATTAATGACTCGTCCAACTTATCATAAATGAGGCCTCATCTTTAAATATGAAACTCAAACTAAATTGTTGAGTTTGCATTTATCATTACTTAATGATCTTTTTAAATGACTTAAAAGTGATTTTGTTGTTGTGTATATAGCCTTTTTAATGTTATAGTTTATTTTTTCATTATAATATACCATAATGGTTGTCGCATATTTCATACAAGAACAAAATGTTAGTGTGTGAGTACAACCATGAATCAAATGCAATAGCAAATTGGCAACAAAAAACATGGCAACAAAGCGCAGCCCCTTTCAGCCGTCCACAAGCACTCAGATCCTGCGATGTTTTGGCTCCAGCTGCGGCTCGCGTCACCGTGGCGTCAGAATCCTGAGAATGGGCGAGCTGAGAGCAGCCTGGGAGAGGCAGCGCGAGCGTACAGTGCAAGTCTGTCGAGCACCTGATCAACCAGAGGATGCATCAGGCCGTTCTTACTTTCAGTCTCCACTGTTTTTAAAAACGTTCCGCACAGTGACTGAAATGTGGCGCGTGCGTTGAACAGAGTAGACGCGTTCGAGTTTCATTCCTTTGCGCACTGGAAGCGTTTCAGCGAATCATAATGAATGACATAAAAGTTGCAGTTCTGGGATCCGAGGGTGTCGGGAAATCAGGTATGTCTATTTTAATGCATTATATCTAAATATATGTATAAAAAAGTTCTATTTATGCATTTTTTGTACTATATTTATTAAAAAGCCTATAAAAATGCGTATTTTATCAATACTAGCTATATATGTGTGTGTGTGTGTGTGTGTGGTGCAAATTACAAAAAGAATATGCTTCTTATTTTGTTTTCTTCTCTACGTTTCCAGCACTTATTGTTCGATTTCTAACCAGGAGATTTATTGGAGAATATGCATCATCATCAGGTATTATTGTTTTCATATTGCTGCATTTTACTATTGTTGATCAGAGAAATTCTATTTATAGGGTTGGAGAAGTGTGCATGACTGATGAGGTATATGGTGGGTGGAACCAAATGTTTGCAAAATCGGTCACTGAAAATACCACTTTTGTGGTGTTTTGTTTAAGTTTGAATGCCTGTTCTTATGTCTGGATATTGACCACCCAGCAGTAAGAGCAATGGCACCAATGGGAGCAGTGCCAAGTAGGCTACACACAGCGTGCCAGTGAATCACAGCAGTTTACTGTATGTGCAGGAATCTTTTGTGTCTGATGTGATCTGTTCTTGCCTTTACAGAGTGCATTTACAGAAAGCGCATGTCTATAGATGGAAGACAGCATAATCTTGAACTGTATGACCCCTGTTCTCAGGTATGTAGACATGCAAATGTAATTATACTTCTGTTATAATCAAGGCAGTACCTTGATAAAGCACCATATGGTTTAGTATGCTAAAGTGAGCATGACTATTGTGCATATTCCAGTGATCTTTCTTTAAGATTACATAACCTTTGCCTGTTTGTGAATGTAGGCTGAATTTCTTTGCAAGCACAGAGAAATGTATTGTATATGAATATGGAATTTACTGTAAGCAGCCCATTTCATAGACTTGACTAGTTTAGACATTTTCCAGAGACCTTGCAAAAAGGGTTAACCTACTAACTATTAGAGCGTATCCAGAAGTCTTACTTGTATTAAATGTATGTAAATTAGTATTATAGAGTTGTGGGTCTCACTGCCTTATTTAATCTCTCCACAAGCTCCAGACACAGCCAGCAATATATAATGCACCAATCAGCCCTGCACGCTATCCCATCTGCCCTGTAAGACTATATTAGGCCTGAACGCTTGTATTATTATTTGATATAAATAAACCTCATATTACCACACAGGAGTGAGTTAATAAAAGATGAAGTGTGTATTTAAAAATACTTTTTCCTCCCTGAGCTTTGTATATATTATTAATGTGGTCAAAATACAGTAAATATGGGCTAGGAGGATGACTGTGTTTTCCTCTTGGATAAAAATAAAAGTTGCAGTTCTGGGATCCGAGGGTGTCGGGAAATCAGGTATGTCTATTTTAATGCATTATATCTAAATATATGTATAAAAAAGTTCTATTTATGCATTTTTTGTACTATATTTATTAAAAAGCCTATAAAAATGCGTATTTTATCAATACTAGCTATATATGTGTGTGTGTGTGTGTGTGTGTGGTGCAAATTACAAAAATAATATGCTTCTTATTTTGTTTTCTTCTCTACGTTTCCAGCACTTATTGTTCGATTTCTAACTAGGAGATTTATTGGAGAATATGCATCATCATCAGGTATTATTGTTTTCATATTGCTGCATTTTACTATTGTTGATCAGAGAAATTCTATTTATAGGGTTGGAGAAGTGTGCATGACTGATGAGGTATATGGTGGGTGGAACCAAATGTTTGCAAAATCGGTCACTGAAAATACCACTTTTGTGGTGTTTTGTTTAAGTTTGAATGCCTGTTCTTATGTCTGGATATTGACCACCCAGCAGTAAGAGCAATGGCACCAATGGGAGCAGTGCCAAGTAGGCTACACACAGCGTGCCAGTGAATCACAGCAGTTTACTGTATGTGCAGGAATCTTTTGTGTCTGATGTGATCTGTTCTTGCCTTTACAGAGTGCATTTACAGAAAGCGCATGTCTATAGATGGAAGACAGCATAATCTTGAACTGTATGACCCCTGTTCTCAGGTATGTAGACATGCAAATGTAATTATACTTCTGTTATAATCAAGGCAGTACCTTGATAAAGCACCATATGGTTTAGTATGCTAAAGTGAGCATGACTATTGTGCATATTCCAGTGATCTTTCTTTAAGATTACATAACCTTTGCCTGTTTGTGAATGTAGGCTGAATTTCTTTGCAAGCACAGAGAAATGTATTGTATATGAATATGGAATTTACTGTAAGCAGCCCATTTCATAGACTTGACTAGTTTAGACATTTTCCAGAGACCTTGCAAAAAGGGTTAACCTTCTAACTATTAGAGCGTATCCAGAAGTCTTACTTGTATTAAATGTATGTAAATTAGTATTATAGAGTTGTGGGTCTCACTGCCTTATTTAATCTCTCCACAAGCTCCAGACACAGCCAGCAATATATAATGCACCAATCAGCCCTGCACGCTATCCCATCTGCCCTGTAAGACTATATTAGGCCTGAACGCTTGTATTATTATTTGATATAAATAAACCTCATATTACCACACAGGAGTGAGTTAATAAAAGATGAAGTGTGTATTTAAAAATACTTTTTCCTCCCTGAGCTTTGTATATATTATTAATGTGGTCAAAATACAGTAAATATGGGCTAGGAGGATGACTGTGTTTTCCTCTTGGATAAAATCCAATTGTTTAATCAATCTGTTGCCCATTATGTGATTGGATACCATCTGTGCATCTTGGGGGTCAGGTTGATTATCCTGTTTTTCCTCACAATCCCATTTAATCATATTGATGGTTCAATAAAAGCTAAGCTTAATCAACAGTATTTGTGGCATAAATGTAGATTTCCAGGAAAAAAATTATTTAGACTTGTCCCTGCTTTTCTTTAAAAACAACAGAAGTCAAGGTTATGGTGAGACACTTAGAATAGAAGTGAATGGAGCCAATGTTTGGATGATTTACAGGAATAATTCACACAAAATTGAAAATTTGCTGAACGTTTACTCACCCTCAGGCCATCCAATATGTATATGAGTTTATTTCTTCATCGCAACAGATTTTGAGAATTTTAGCATTATATCACTTGCTCACCAATGGATCCTCTGCACTGAATGGGTGCCGTCAGAATGAGAGTCCAAACAGTTGATAAAAGCATCACAATAATCCACATGACACCAGTCCATCAATTAATATCTTGTGAAGCAAAAAGCTGCATGACAACAGGAGATTATTAAGCATTATTATAGATTATGGACTGGTATTTGGATAGAAGCAAAGGTTTAAAGTTTAAACACCTTGATGGTGGATTTGGACAAACACACAGCTAACTGATGGACTGGAGTCGTGTGGATTAAAGTATGGGCAATATTCCTTTAAAGACTATCACACATATCTGTATGTCTGATTTCTTTGTGCAGCCATGCGAGGGGAAGTCCACACTCAATGAGCAGATCCATTGGGCCGATGGCTTTGTGGTCATTTACGACATCAGCGATCGTTCCTCCTTCCTCACAGCCAAAGCCATAGTTCACCTGATCCGAGAGCTTCACCTGGGAGGGTCTAAAAGGTAGCGGTCACTCTGAATACATGCTGTTCACAACAACACCCTCAGACAGCAGAAGATGAGCCTATTTCTGTCCATATATGAGTGTTGCTCTAATGTGGGTGTCCATAATTCACCAGCTTCGGTTCACTGGGGAAGTCGTGGCCTAATGGTTAGAAAGTCGGACTCGTAACCCAAAGGTTGTGGGTTCGAGTCTCATACCGGCAGGGATTGTAGGTGGGGGGAGTGAATGTACAGCGCTCTCTTCCACCTTCAATACCACGACTGAGGTGCCCTTGAGCAAGGCACCGAACTCCCAAGTGCTCCCCGGGCGCCGCGGCATAAATGGCTGCCCACTGCTCCGGGTGTGTGTTCACGGTGTTCACTGCTGTGTGTGTGCACTAAGGATGGGTTAAATGCAGAGCACTAATTCCGAGTATGGGTCACCATACTTGGCCTCACGGCCTCATGTCACATTGAGGAGGATTGTTGAATTGAGTATGTGGGTGGTACTGATGGGCGGATGAGCTGGTGACTCGTACTGTAGATTCATTGAAAAACATCTATTTTTAGTCTAGCCTAGAAATTTTCAATGATTAAGTAGATGCATTTGAGAAATTCACTTTATAGCAGAAATAAGTGGAATATTGAATGGCCTTCTGTCTTCAGTTAGGATTTATTCTATTCACAATTGACATGTATTTGTTTGTTCGTCATTTATATGCTTTCAGGCTTTTCTTTTTGCTACTTTTACATAAGTTATTGTAAATTAAGCATCTTCAGTGATGTTTTTTCCTTTGTGACAGCAGGGACACAGACTCTGTGATTTTCCTGGTGGGCAATAAGCAAGACTTGTGCCACATGCGGGAAGTGGACAGGGAGGAAGGCCAGAAGTTGGCGTCCGAGTGCCGCTGTCAGTTTTACGAGCTGTCTGCTGCAGAGCACTACCAGGAGGTGGTGCTCATGTTCTCCAAGATCGTGCGCAATGCCAGTCTGGGAGGCAAGGCAAAGGAGCGCCGCCGTCGCCCTAGCGGTTCAAAGTCCATGGCCAAACTCATCAACAATGTCTTCGGAAAAAGGCGGAAATCTGTTTAAAAAACGAACTTGGACAATTGTTACAGGACTGACGCATGAGATGCGCCACACTTGTTTATATAGTTCCTCACCGCTTATTGTTAATGCCGTGTCTTGTCTTGGCCACACAGTCATTACCAGGTGAATCTCATGAAGAACATAGACATATTTCACCCTAAAGTCAAAGGAAAACAGACATTTTCTTTGCTTCAAGAAAATGAAGCCTGTTTTATAACCATTTTGCATTGGAATAATATTCTCATGTCATTTACCTCATAATTTCTCATTACCGTAATGAAAAAAAAACTCTCTCTCTCTCTCTCTCTCTCTCTCTCTCTATATATATATATATATATGTGTGTGTGTGTGTGTACTATTTTAGAATTGCACTCTAAAAAATACATCTGGACTCATTATGGTAATGAGATTTTTACATTGTGGCAATGACAAAATGTGCTCATTTGTCATCAAAAATAATGTCACGGTGCAAAACATTTAAAATAGGCTTAATTTTGTTAATGCAAAATATAATAACCTAATTTTCTTGCGTATAGTTGCACATCTCTGCTTTTTGTCTTAAATGTTTCTTTAATCACTTCTTCGGATGTTTAAATGTCAGATTTAAAAGAACAACTAAGGACATCACTGATATTTCAGCTTGAGGATTGGCTAGACTGCCAAGTCAAAGTCAGCTCTGAGGTTGTGAACTATTAGTTAGCTTGCCATGTAGTCATAGATCAAATGTTACATGTGTTTCACTTACCATTTGTTTGTGCAGTATATGAAACTCCTCACTCACTGTTTGATGTTATTGAATCACTTTCTACATGTATGATGTGAGCAATGACATGTCATGACGTTTATGGATTTTGAAATATCTTCAAATTCCTGTAAAACAAAAACATCTGTGCATTAAAATGTGACCATTTTAATGACCAAGTATCTTTCCGTTTTCTAGGAATTCACATATAAAAGGTATTTGATTACTCAAAGTTGGGAAACAACTGGCCTGACCAGAAAATAAGTAATAGATATGCTGTATTGAATAGTTTTTCTGAAATGTTCACCAGAATGGCATTATCTTTAATATTATGCAACAGAATTGCTTCAGCAAGTTGACATTACAGTGAGGAGATAATGATGAACAGACTGAGGTTTTGGAAAGCACCAATAAAATGAACGATGAATCACACAGCTGGTTCTAATTTGTTCTACAAATGAACAGATACACATTAAAAGCAATATTGCACTAATTGCAGTTTACTTTCTGAGTCCTTAAAGGGATAGTTCACCCAAAAATGATAATTCTGTCATTAATTTCTCAGCCTCATGTCGTTCCAAACCAGTAAGACCTTCATTCATCTTCGGAACACAAATGAAGATATTTTTTATAAAATCCAAGAGCTTTCTGTCCCTGCATAGACAGCAAGGCACTCGTGGATGGCGGCGGACAGTGATTTTTGTTTTCTTTGCATGCAAAAAGTATTCTCGTAGCTTCATAAAATTATGGTTGAACCACTGATGTCATATGGACTATTAACGATGTCCTTACTACCTTTCTGTGCTTTGAACGTGGTAGTTCCCTTGCTGTCTATGCAGGGTCAGAAAGCTCTCGGATTGCATCAAAAATATCTTCATTTGTGTTTCGAAGATGGACGATGGTCTTACAGGTTTGGAACAATATGAGGCTGAGTAATTAATGACAGAATTTTCATTTTTGGGTGAACTATCCCTTTATGTGTTTAATGGAATGCTTGCATACTGCACAGTATGCACTATGCAATACTTTTTACTATTACTATTAAAAGCAGTAAATTGATGGTATTAAAGGTCAATCGATGTTGCTTCTGGCTCCTCACACTGGCAATAAAAGGTCTAAACTCTTATTATTTTGGCAAGTGACAATGCCCAACGCAAGCTACCATGTCTTTTGTTGACCCTTTGGACATCTGGCCAACATTCAGCATGACGGCTTCCAACAACAGCAAGTTATGATGAGTAATATTTGAGAGCCAGAAGGTGGATTGGGTCCCTCTAGTTCGCATACCTGCAGAAGACGAGAAACCCCTTTATCAACATAGGGGAGAGGAGCAGATGGCTGTTTGTACAGCATTGATTCAAAAGGAGATATGAAACACAAGGTGTTTGCTTATAAGGGTCTTGTCATCACATATTGATTCCTGGATAAACACTCTCGAACAGCTAAACGTGCTGGGAATTTCACTTTTAAGTATATTGCGAACTCCCCCTTCTGGGAGAAGAACCATGCACTCTCTTCCAATTAATATCTAAATGTGTTTTCGAGCTTACCATTATTTTCATCAAATAGAACAGATTTGTTGGGCATGTCAACCAATCAGAATTTAGTGTTACAGTTTGCGTTAGACTTGTAGTGTTCATCAGTTGTACGTTTTAAAATCCTTACTTCCAAAGGGCCATTTCAAGTGGCCAGTTTTGAGCACTTTGGTTTGAAAATACTCTTCAATATGGCGGCCTTGATTGTTCTCACTCCGAAGTGGCCTTTGGAGGCGAATTTATCCTGTTTGGAATACAGCAGATGCCATTTTAGTGCCTCTAGTAATGCCAAATGGAACTGCAATCTATTTGTTTGCGTGGTTCATTTTGGCCCAACATATGAAGACAGTCAATGTGCAAGTTGGGATGAGGGAACCTGTTTATCCAAAACAAAGGTTGACTAGGGTAGTTTTTGAAATTAGTTTGACAGTCTTTATTTACATAATTATGTTAGTTGTCACTAGCTGTGCAGAAATACCTCACTTTACCTTTAAATTGACACTACTTTGGCCTCTCTATCGCCAGCTGTAGTTGAAACATAAATTGCTACATTTATTTGTCGAGGTGCTTTTTTAACATCTGATTTTGTATATAATAATATTTAATAACAACACTGTATTCAGTTTTTGTAGTAAGGGATAAGGTTAGGACTATGCAAGTACGACTGATAAGCATAACGGTCACATTTGATAAGAGTGGCATCAACTCACCTCGATTTGTTTTTTAATCGCAGCTTTCACGTCTTAGCTGGGGATTAAAATGAGCTGCATAGTTAGTCATCTTAATACTCTTGTTCTTATTTTGTTGTACTGTTAAAAAAATAAAAAGAAGAGAAACGTGCCGTCATACCTTAGACTTATCCTCCCACCTTAGGCTCTATTAAAATTCGGCCACGAGACATTATAAATAATATTGTTTACCACGCCATCATCATTCACTCAGTAAAGCGGCATTGAAAGCATTTGGCACAGGTGGAGTAGGATGGGTGGTGTGTGTTTACATGTGCAAACATGTGGAAGGATGAGCAGCAGAAAACTCAAAAGAAAGAAGTGTTGCTGGAAAGCAAGCAACCAGTTATGGGAGATTTGCTGTTCAAGCCACAGATGTGAACTCGCACGTGACCCCTCTTCAGGTGTTCTTGGCAAACGCTGGATCTTCAGCAGATCCTCAACACCTGACCAAAGCAAAGCACAGCCTGGGCCGGCACGCAAAATTACCTATACGCAACAGACCGTGTACCCATCACAGATGGAAGTAGTGTCATTTACCTCCATAGAGGACGATGCATTGGCAGAGCAGGTGTGCTGATATAAAAGTGATTCTCACATTTCCCTCTCAGTGCTTCTAAATGAATCATCAAAGTCTTAAATCTTAAAGGTCCGTTCACAACAAGAACGATAAAACTCTTTAAATCCAGATGGATTCTGACTGGCTGACGATGTTTTTATTATTCATTAAATTAAAATAAATGCTGTTAAAGTGATTCCAGTGATGTTGTTTCTCTGTGTCAATATCATTATAGCTGTGATTTGGACACTGCTATTCGTTTATATTTAGATAGATTTTTTAAAATGATATCACTATCATTATAGTTATTGTCTTTGGTGTGTTTACTTACAGTATTTGATATCACAATCTCCATCTTCTTCAAGATTGGGTTCATTCCTGTGCCATACAGTATTCTCTACAGTATACTTCTATTTCTAGCATGCACTTAATTATATTTGTTGTATATCACTTAGTTATAATTAGTATAACCTAATATAGTTATCAGTATCAGTAAATTAAAGGAGTACTCAGTATTATGAAAAAGTATTTTTTATTTATATTTATTTAAATTTTTATGTATTTATTTCATATATATATTCTTATATTATATAAACAAGCTATTGATGTGTATTTGTAACACTTATTATTAATCACATACATGTAATCAGTCTCTCATTAATGTGTGTACACAAGCCATGCTAATGAAAGCTAGGTCTGATTAGCCATTAATTAACAGCACATCCGCTGGAATTCAGTGTGGGGTGATTTGGACGTGGGAATTCATGAACTTCTGGATTGTTCATGTAAAGAGAGACGTGAAATTGTGTTTTCAATTCCACCGTCGCTGCACCTTGCGTCTGTTCTTACAAAAACAACATGTTGCCTGAGAAGGAGATGGAAAGAAAGTGCCATGCACATCATAAACCATAATAGCTGAAAGCTAATTCATAGTTGAGCCAAAAGATTGCCTTGCAGCAGCAGCAGGCTGGAATCTCTTTGATGAGGCCAGCAGAATAAAGGCCTAGCATATGGATTTGATTAGCACAGGCGAAAGTGATTCTTTGATTCATTTCTGCCCGAGGACCCAGTGCTTGAGTTCAGTGTGTTGTGATACTGATGTTATAGTGTTCATCTTTGCACTGTGTTTTTAAATGCATCCCATTCTGTCTGTATGAATGGGGCAACAGATTTTGGCCTCCACATCAAAAAGATTGGACTTTGTTGTAAACTTTTATTGACCCACATTTAATGTATTTATACATGTGGGCCACATTCATGTATGTTGTATTGGCGGCATGAGAAGCTGATATATTTTAAGTTCAGTGGGAGGTTGATTTGTTTAAGACACATTATCACATTAGCGCATATGTATGGTACGCAAAGTGGAGACAAGAATACGCACTTTCTGCGTGCTCACATGACAATAAGAAGATGGAGAGCGTGGTGGGGAATACACAGTGAGATTACAGATTCTGTCACTGTATAGTGCTGTTAAATTTATAGAGTAATGATGCTAACATACTTCAAAGTTCACATGGAAGCTGGCTTAACACGGTTTCTAGCTGGTTGAAACTGTTTATTTAGAATTAGTAACAGTTTCAAACTGGTTTAGGTGGTTGTTCATCTACTAAACTATAGCTAAAAGCAGGTAAGACCTCAAGAGGGCAAGGCTTGGCTTGTTGACACGGCCAGCTAAAATTAGCAGTGTTCCCTGATGTAATTTTGTATTTATTTGATAATTATACATTTTTGCAAGCAACATAAATGTTTCTAATATTTCGTTATATTACAGTATATCATAGAATTTGATTAAATAACAAACTCACATCAACAACAACAACAAAAAACATGGAAAGTTTTTCTCTTTCCTTTTACGAATTGATATACCATTTTTATGTACATATATGTGTGTGTGTGTGTATATACTGTACATGTATATGTATATGTATATATAATGGAATTCATTAAAGAAAATCATTAAAATGATAAAAAAATATATATATATATGTATTTTTAAAAAAAAATTTTGGAAAGCTCAATATTTCGTTATATTACAGTATATCATAGAATTTGATTAAATAACAAACTCACATCAACAACAACAACAAAAAACATGGAAAGTTTTTCTCTTTCCTTTTACGAATTGATATACCATTTTTATGTACATATATGTGTGTGTGTGTGTGTATATACTGTACATGTATATGTATATATAATGGAATTCATTAAAGAAAATCATTAAAATGATAAAAATATATATATATATATGTATTTAAAAAAAATTTTTTTGGAAAGCTCTTAAAAACATAGATATAACATTTTATGTAGATTATTTATATATATATATATATAATAAAAAAGACATAACATAAAAAATTACACGTATTTTAAATATAATATTAAAATATAAAAATTAATTTAAAAAAATTTTTTCATTAATTTTTTTCCCCTGCTGCTCATGAACAGACAGTATTTAAATCTATGGCCCATTTTTTTATGACCCACTAGCAGTTAAAAGTAAGTATTGCCCCAATTGAATGACCTGAATTGTTTCTAATGTAGTTAGACAACGTAGTTCTACAATGTATCTTCCTTTTGACTTGCTGTATCACAGAAGTGGCTTGAAATCTTAACAGACCTGGTTTTATTTACAGACACCATCAACTTATGGCACTCAGGTTTAAAGGTAAGTATTGGCAGCAGCTGCGTTTCAAACTAGCACACTGCCGGGAAGCGAGTGCAGAGATTGCACAGATAGCCCACAGCCATTCAGACCCAGTCACAACTGGAGCGTACTGCCACAACCACACATCCAGACTACAGGTATGTGTGCTGAGATAAGGAACAGTGGCTCTCGCCCGGCCATTCCAGCAGCATTATGGTGGGTTTAACCCAGCTCAGGTATGCTGGGAATGTAGCGGAGTGTAACAGCATAAAGAGAGGAAGCCTGTAGATTTGAGCTGAGACTTCATTGAATGCCATTGGTGGAGAAACTGTTGTCTCTGTTGAGGTCGAGGCTCATTTTGATTTCTAAATAACTTGGGTAAACTAGTCATGTAAGCTGGTTATGTAAGTGTGTTTGTTGAAAGGACAGTGAGTTACTGGAGCTGTCCTATCCAATTCTGTCATCCCTGCCAAGTCTCCTTCAGGACACAAAGTTTACTTTCAGGAGACCTTGTGCGACTCCATTCTTCTCCGGGCCCTGAGCAGAGCGCAGCGGGGGGAGGCAACAGTACAGAGATTATAGCGACCCACTCATACCCATCAAGATAAAATTCTGTTCCATTCCAGGCAAAAATGAGCAAGTAAACAAATGGTTGAGATAATAGCAGCGTTGAACCTGAGCGTTTCATAGAAACATGGCATTTTCAAGAATTTTATGTTGTGAATTTAATTTTATTGAAAAATTTGAATCAAATAATTTGATAAATATTCTTCATGGTTTCATGGAATAAACAAATATGTGAAACATGTCTAGTTGCATAACAGAATGTAGGCCTACTGATAGAAATCTGGAGACCTCAAAGCCTTAGTTTGTTCCTGAAAGTCACTCATTTTAGTGTGTCATCGCATTAGATAACAAAATAGCGTCTAGAGTGCAGCGGGGGGAGGCAACAGTACAGAGATTATAGCGACCCACCCATACCCATCAAGATAAAATTCTGTTCCATTCCAGGCAAAAATGAGCAAGTAAACAAATGGTTGAGATAATAGCAGCGTTGAACCTGAGCGTTTCATAGAAACATGGCATTTTCAAGAATTTTATGTTGTGAATTTAATTTTATTGAAAAATTTGAATCAAATAATTTGATAAATATTCTTCATGGTTTCATGGAATAAACAAATATGTGAAACATGTCTAGTTGCATAACAGAATGTAGGCCTACTGATAGAAATCTGGAGACCTCAAAGCCTTAGTTTGTTCCTGAAAGTCACTCATTTTAGTGTGTCATCGCATTAGATAACAAAATAGCGTCTTTAAAAACTAGCACACTTCTTAAATGATACCTTTCAAAATAAATGCTTTAATAGTTTCATATTTTGTCATCTAAGACAATGATATTCATTTTAAGTGTGGCTGGACCCACTGTAAAGTGTCTGTGGGTCGATGACTGTTCACTCTCCGTTTTATGTGCTGTGCTCTCATACAGACAGATAAACTACTGGTTTAGGTTATGTTATTAATCAGCTCCTCCAAGTATTTATCATATCTATCACACATGAAAGCCTTATCTTTGATAAATGAAATCATGGCATGTTCATTTAAAAGTGATCATAGCTGCATTTTTCATGCTTCATCTACACATCTGATAGGTAAAATCACTGTTGGCAGTGTTTCGAACACTTAAGGGCACTTAAGGAAGAACATGTATGGCCGACTTCCATCTTGTCTGAATGCCAGTAACATCCTAAGTGCACTTTTGGCATTACAGAGCAATCACAGCTTCCCAGATTCAGACACCTTCCGCGTTTCATTGTCAGTAAAAAGTTTAAGTGGAACATACGTTTGGAAATCAGTGGCTGACACATTTTACAGAAGGTAAAAAAATTATATTATCCCAAGGAGATGATAAAATCTTCAGTGTTTGCCTATAAGGTTGTTCCTGGGCATGTTCTTGTCTATTTCAGAAAATTCGCCACCAGTATGTTAGCAACTTTATTTTGTGCAATGTATTAGTTCAGCATACTCTTAAAAATAAAGCTTCTTCATTGGCATTGATGATTCCACAAAGAACCTTTAACATGGAACCTCCATTGTACTAAAATATTCTTTACACTAGGGAAAGTTATTTTAAGAATTATTTACTGAAAGGTTCTTTTGGAAACCCAAAATGGCTTTTCTAAGGCATCGCTATGAAGGAACCTTTATTTTTAAGATTTAGAATTTGTATTTGCAGTTATCATGGGATTTTCTTGGATTTCTTCTTAGTTTTTGTGGCTTACATACACATACAACATGGAGGCAGCATTTTTATTTTTAAACATATATATGTATATATATATATATACTGTATGTTTAAAAGGAAAATGCTGCCTCCATGTTGCACAGACGTAGCCTAATATTATTAATCAGAATGTATGCATATATATTTCCATACAAGTAAATGTTTTTTTCCTAGAAGAAATGACTACATTTATCAGGACTGACATCTGTATAGGCTACTAATAATATCTATATTTTTATGTGCTTATATTTTAACAGACTGATAAACAGGCCTACATACAGTGGTGAAGTAGTGCCCTCATGTGGAAATGCAACCGTTTAAATTATGCAAACAAAATAAAAATGAACCACAGTTTATAATAAAAAAAATGTGTGCCTTTACTTTTATACAATATGAAGGGTTTTAACGGTTATTATTTATTTATTTAAAGTAATTTATTCTTCTCCTATTTACCTATTTATCCTTTCTTTTCTAATGTGAAGTCGTGTTGGCACTCATGATGTGCCACATTTTTATGCTCGTTCTCTTGGCGTTGCATAATTTCAGTTTTTTTTGTTTGTTTGTGAATTGTATTCAGTAAAATAATAATAATAATATAGACTGTCGCTTTTACGCGTCTTGCTATGACGCCCAAAACGCGAACTGTACAGTAGGCTACGCGTCTTGAACGCGACGCGACGCGACACAACCAGACAGCGTTTCCAAAGAACAGGAGGTGCGAGTCACGCTGCTTTGCATATTACAATAATTCCAGGAAGCTTTTATAGGTCGGCTGTGTGTTTCCTGCACCTACGCCACCTTGTTTACCGTGCTCTTTGTCGCTGTCGAACTCATTCGTCTATTAAAAACCTGTTTCAAAACTTTGTAATTGAGCTGTACTGAGGTTTATGTAGGTTCAAACGCGGATCATGAAGTTCTTGTACCTGAAAGGTGCTGTGTTTTTCCCCTTCATACCTGTAGTGCTGAATCTCCGACTTATGGATAATGGACGCTCGCTGAACTGTACACGAGAGGTAAGATAATACATAAAGACCAGCAGCAGATACCAAAAAGTGTTAGATATTTATTTAGATGTGTTAAATGTGTTTATGTAGTCACTGATATGGTTCCTTTGGGGTTTAAAGTTTTGGATGAGGGTCATATTTCTGCGATCAATTGTAGTTTCTTTCTCGCTCTCCAGGAAGTACAGTGTACTGCAGAGTTCAGTAAGTCCTGCTTTCATTTTTCTTTAGTATTCTTTATTGTTGTGAGTTGTATTTTAACTGAAGTTTGATTATTTTCCTCCACAGATAATTGCCTGTATAAAGAATGGCTCATTCCTTCAGATTTCACTCCCAGTGAACCGGATGATTTGTCAGTGTATGTTGATGTAAGAAGCAATATGAAAGGTGATGTGGAGCCAGTGATTGTGGCAGAATGGAAAGCAAAGGATGATGGTGGGTGTCGTGGGTTTTTAGATAAGTCTTAGATATGTGTGTTACATTATGTGAAAAAATCCATTTACTTGGACAAATTCTTGAAAACAAAAAAAATCAAGTTTAATGCGAAGGGACCCTTATAAATTGTGCATTTAGACCTATATTTTACTGTATTAAAAAGCTATAATGAAGCTCATGTTGAAGAACTCACATTGTTTAATGCTAAATGTGTGTACCAATCAGTGTTGGGGGTAACGCATTACAAGTAACGCGAGTTACGTAATCAGATTACTTTTTTCAAGTAACTAGTAAAGTAACGCATTACTTTTTAATTTACAAGAGAATATCTGAGTTACTTTTTCAAATAAGTTACGCAAGTTACTTTTTTCCAATTTATTGATTGACAGCTCTCCTGTCCCCATGTTGAGAGAAATCAGAAGATGTTCCTGTAGTTCTAAAATAAATCTGAATATGCATTAATTCATCACACTCACAAATAAAAAAACACAGATTCAGTATTCCTCAAAATAAGTAAAAATAATGCAATTCAGAATATGACGCGAACCTGCAATAATTAAATGTTAAACAACACAAATATCCTTTATGTATTTAATCCCATTCTATTAACCAATGCCTTTGCTTCTGACCTTCGATGATCCAGTTCAACCGTACTAATAAGCAAAAATGACTCTAGACAACATTTGTGTGTCTTTTTTTATTGCTGAAGTGTGTTGAAATGTCTTCTTCTGCATTCTACTGTACGGACGTAAATGTACTTTCCCTTCAGCCTGAGGCTTATTCATTTCACTTTTGGTGTGAAAAGGCTTTTATATTTGCCAAAAATAGAACTTTTTTATTTTAAAAACAAGCAAGCAAGCCCAGTCCAGATTTTTAAAGTAATGCAAAAGTAACGTAACGCATTACTTTCCATAAAAAGTAACTAAGTACTGTAATTAGTTACTTTTTTAATGGAGTAACGCAATATTGTAATGCTTTCCCCAACACTGGGGAATAAGACATTTTCTATATTTAATGATTTCAAAAGGGGGTAAAAGGACTCTTTATTTTAATTTTGTATATCAATAATTATTTATCTCCCAATTAGGACCTCATTGTAGTCATCAAAGTTTAATAAAGCTTTTTTTGTTGTTTTTTTTGCAGGCAGTATAATTCATTTGAAAGGAACAGAGCTTGCTGTGTTGAAGTCATCAACCAATGAACATCTATGTGTTCATTACAAGTTCCTCCAAGTTTTTAAGTCCATGAGAAATAGTGTTGGTGAAAAGGCAAGACTGATTGATTGATTTATTTGTGTTTTTATTCTATTTATTCTCACAAATACTAATGTATGATCTGTTTTATTCTAGTGGTCTTTTTCTTTGGATAAAGTTGTGGTAGATCCAGACAGCACATATGTAGTGACTGTCTCCAACCTTCCCAAGCCGAATTTACAACACACCAGTTACAATATTAACTTAAAAGTTAATGTTCCAGGTAAGTGACAAATTAAACAAAAATTTTGTTCAAATATTTCTACATGGCAATTTATATTCAGAATGATAGCTCAGTTTCGATCTGTAACCACAGGTTGTGACGACCTTTTGATGAGAACAACCAAAATCTGTTTTGAAAGAGGTGAGAGAAGAGCTCATTTAAAAATGGATACAAATCAGATACATATATATACACCTAGAAACCCTGAAACCTTATGTATTAAAGTATGTATTCACTTCTTATCCTATGAGATTCATTTGGTTTGATGTTTTGCTTAGGGGATACATGGCGACCCAACGTTACCGTAGGAAGGACCACAGGTGTAAATGGCAAGGATATTCTGTATGTTGCATTTAATCCTGGAGAGAACGCAGAAAAATACAATGTTTTTCTTAAGTGCAACAGGGACACCGAAATGAAGACTCTTTATAATGTAAGACATTTTATGTTTTATCATTTATATTTAAATATATCCAAATGAATAAGGCTGGATAATATGACTCTGCACATAAAACTGGGCAGAACTGTTTTCAAAGGGTGTTTTTTTGTGTTTAGGAGAGCAATCCATTACTAAATGTGACATATAACCTGGAGAACTGGTCACGTACATGCTGTAATTTTGATGTTCAGGTGTGTTGGCCTAAACAAACATGTTACACCAATCATAAAGTAAGATTACATATAAAACAATTCTTATATACTAGTGTATTGACTTAATAGTGTTTTTTTCCTATTTAGATCCAGCCATTTTTCCGGAAGTGTGCCAACGACTGTCGTCGAAAGAATCACAGTTTTAACATATGTGGTCCTGGTGTGTATGGAAACAGCTTCACCTTTTGAATTACTGAGAAAAAAAAAAGTAAAAAGCATAATGCCACTTTACTCATTTTTATATATGTTCCACAGTACCAACAAGCCCTCCTGAGAACAACTCAGCACTTCAGATCATTTGTGCTGGATTATGCCTCTTAATTTGTGCCATTGGTATTTGTGCTATTTATTTGCGCTGCAGGAAACCACAGAATGGTAAGCATTGACATTTAAGATGGATGTTTTTATCCTCAAAGACTGTGATTTTAATTGTGTTACACAACAGTGGCAGTGATGTCTTTCAAGAGGAACTTCCTGTGGGTAGCCACACAGATAGTGTTAGGGCTGAAATGATACAGCTAATATGCAGTAAACAATCATTTTCAAGCAATATCCCTGTTTCTAATTTTTTTAATTATTTTAATTCAGGTCAAAAAAAGCCACAGGAACCACCACGTCTTGTACCACCAGTTTCATCCGGCCCACGATCCGTATTAATCATCTACTCCAGAGATCATCCCCTTCACACAGACATAGTCCTGAAGCTTTGCGCCTTCCTGCGGGCCAAATGCGGCATTGAGGTCATGCTGGACCTACTTGACGCCACTTGGCTTGGCACCATCGGCCGGCTACAGTGGCTTGAGGAAAAAAAGCGACAGATTGAGCAGTCGTCAAACAAGATCTTGGTCCTTTGCTCCCGAGGAGTGCAAGCCAAGTGGGGGGCGATGTGTGGAGAGCCTCGCATCCTCCTCCGGGAAGACGTGCGCTCTCCGGTCGGTGATATGCTGACTCTCGCCCTTCAGCTGATTACACCTGATATGCAGCGTCCGGCTTCTTACGGGAAGTATTTGGTGGCTTACTTTGATGACGTAAGCAGCGAAGGCGATGTGCCGTCTATGTTTGACATTGCGATCAAATATAAGCTGATGAAGCATTTCGAGGAGCTCTATTTCCGTATCCTCGATGTGGAGAAGTATCAGCAGGGAGTGAAGCACTGTATCGAGGGTATCGGAAAGGACGAGTACTTCAAATGCCCCTCGGGCGAAGCCTTAAGGAACGCAATCGAAGCATTCCAGGCACACCAATTGAAGAATCAAGACTGGTTTGAGAAAGAGTGCGTGACCAGTGAGGAGGAAGTGAGAGGGGAAACCGATCCACTTCTTGTGATGCCCATGCAGCCAATATATGAATTAACACCTATGCTAAACATCGGACTCCCAATCCTTGTGAAGGAGGTAGACATCAATCAAGAGGCAAAGAGTGTCTGCTCTGTAAGTCCCCAAATTCAAGAGAACCCTGAAGAGTCATCTGTGGTGATTATTAATCCAAGAGTCCAGCCAGATCACAGTGTACTTTCCTATTATCCACCAATGGAATGTCCTCTTGAATTACCCAGCGTGACTGGTATTAGGACACCAATGGACCCACAAATCTATCCATGTTTCCTCGCTGAACCAGGACCAGTGGAACCGTCACATCCTCCTTTTGCGTTTTCATTGGGAGAACCATCAGATAATTGTCCGACGGACAGCAGAAAGTGCTTTTTGATAGCACCTCCACCCTCAATGGAAGACAGCTTCAATCTGAATCAGGAGATTCAGCCAGTGGAGATGGAGGAAAGTGAAATGGAGGGTGCTTCCGAGATGAGACCATCACGAGGGTCCGATCAGGGATATGGTTCCAGATATTCCACAGTGAGGGAGGACCCCAAGTTTCAGCAAGACTGTTCCTCTCTGGCCAAGTTACAAATGCACCTCTTTCAGAACAGCCCGATCTCTTCTAGTTTCTGCACCAGAATGAAGATCTGAATTTCTTGTACGTCTTTTGGCTGTTTTTGTGATTTGCAGTGTGCCGTAGTACCATGGCACAGTGTTCTTGAACAATCTATGTTTGGCCGTCACTCCTAAAACATTCAAACTATTTATGTCAACAGAAACAGGAAACAGACTAGATGGACGAGTTCAATGATCAGCTCTTTTACTGTGGAGCAGAACAAGTACCTTGTTAAACAGCTTGATATAGAACAGCACAGCACATGATTTTAAGCTTATGTTAGCTACCGAACACACATCTAAGAAATTTGGTTGGGCTTGCAATGTTACACTTGTATTGTTTTTCATATTTGCTCAGATGAAATTTTTTGTTGTATTATATTGCACTATTGTATTTTATTTTTCATTCCAGTTTAACAGCTATAACCATTTACTCTGGAAGTTTTTATATAATATTATGTAAGTACATTTCTAAATTTATAAAGCAGCATTATTTGGTAATTCTTTTTACTTACTAATTTAGTTAAAGAATCACTTTACTTGCATCAAATGACATCCAACTTTGGACCTCAAATTACTTTTTAACCAATTTAACCAGGATGCTTCTAGACCCTTGCAGCTGTTGCAGTGCAAATAATGTCTTATGTAAACATAACTTAACTTGCAAACTAAAGCCCTTGTAAGAAATTCCTCTGTAAAACATTAATGTGGATAAATAGCGAGAGGTGGGGTTGGAAGTCGCTTTCCTTATCAAAAAGGTTATGTACATACACTAAAACCTGTAGTTTAAAAAACATGCGTAGTATGTAGTGGTGTATATTTGTCAGGTTAAATACTGCGCAATGAGGCACAAAAATCCCATAATGCACTTTCGGCCTGCATATGTAACACATTTAGCTCACCCTGTACCCCAGTCCTCAAAGCACAAGAGTAATAATATGTTAGAATAAGGATGCACATTTGTTAGTAATTACATGTTAGACTAGCATATATAATACTCCGTTTTAAAACTAAAAGTGACAGGACAAGTTTGCTTGTGATAGCTTACCCAAAAATGAGTATTCTGTGATCATTTACTCACACTCATGTCACTCTAAACCCGGATGCATTTATTTATTCAAGATATTTAGAAAAATTAGTTTTTTGTCCATTCAATGAAGTTCAATGGGGTCCAAACCAACATTGTTTGGACCCCATAGACTTTCTTCATATGTGCAAAAACATTATTTAAAATATCTTTGTTTGTGTTGCACAGAAGAAAGCAAGTCATTCAGGTTTGAAACGACATGAGGGTGTGTAAATGATGTCAGAATTTTCCATTTTGGTGGAAACTTGGAGTGAGAAACATGGATATTAAGCTTTGACATATTTGTTCAAGTTCCTGGTGTAAACTTAGTGTAAGAAATGAACTTGGAAATATACATATTTAGATTCTCATTTAGACATAGATGCACTGCATGTAGATTAATGGATAGTGTCCTCTTGAAGTCTGTCTATCGGCACTATAATTGTCATGATCAAAATATTATTAATTGTGATAATCATACCTTATTTACTGGCATGAATAAAATAGCATCTGAAATTGAGCAGAATAACAGACTAGTTTGTGATTTCAACCATGAGGTTCTGTAAAGAGAGGTAGCCTTGTACAAACTGATGATGGTAATACGGCTGGTTGGGACCAGCAATGGAGTTTGGTCATTAAAGATGGATTACAGTTATCCTCATAGACTCTATACTTAAAGTAGCCTATTATTACATTAAGGAACATTATGAATCCATATCATACACCGTTCGGCAGTTTTCCATTCCTAAGTACCATTGCCACTGACAAAAGTATTTCAAATAGGAAAGGACTACATCACATTCACAATTTGAAGTGTACACCAAGCCTAACAAGTCACAAGGCATATTTACACTTGACGAGTGCATTTAGGAACATCTCTTGACTAAGTATCTGAAAACACTATAAACATGTGTCTACATGAGCCTACTGTCAGTTACGGACATTTTTACATAGAAAATAAATTATACAACATTGCACTTATAACCTTTCCTCAGTTGAATAGTCCTCGCGTAATTAAAGTGCCTCACAAAACAAGTGCAAATCAAAGATTCTCTTATCATCATATAAGCACTGGCTGACAGTCACGTCCCAATTCATTAAGTATATACTGCAGAGGTCACAGGTGGGAATGTTTTTCATTGGCACGTTGAGTGGCTTGGTTGTAGCACCTGTTGAGAGTGGAGGAGAACGACAGGGTGTTCATAAGGAGAGGTACTACAGGCATAAATGTGTATTTTGGTTAGATTTGGCTATTCTAACAAACACGTCTCAAACACTAGCTAATATTGTCATAAACATTGAATTATTCTGATTTTATATCACATATTGGCTACCAAGTAAATAATGTAAAATCAGTTCGCTATATACGGCTTGTCTGACACAAATTATATTTTGGATTTAGGCCAATGCCTAATAAACCAAATGTTTCATGTTTTGTACAGAATCCTAATTTTGCTTATTGTTGGTTATTGTCCGTTTTGTTGTTGTTTTATTAATTTGCTAAAAAAAAAAACTTTTTGCAAACAAGTCTGACAACCGGCAACCAGTGAGTTAATCACACAAACACATTTTTGTGGAGTTCACTTGTTATATTATGCATACCTGTGAAAATGTAATTACATGATGGCTAATTTGCATACTGCATGTATGCATTTACGTCCCACTTAGCACACTGTTAAGACGTTATAAACAAAATACTTTTTATTAACTTGTGATTTGTAACTCTAAAATACGTGTTTGTCAATTTTAACGCTCGCAGCTGACCATACCTCACAATCCGTACTTTTACAAAGTATAGCAATACATTTTATTTATTAACTGATTTGTGTGTTTTATCTTCATTTTGATTAAAAGGAAAGGAATGTTAGCACCTGTAGTACCTCCCCTTAAATGGGCTGATGCACACTGTGTAGTAGCCTATGTGGCCCCCGGCCGGTCAAACCCAGTCCCTAATGAGCATCTACGACTGAGTATTGTCAGCCAGCGTATTCACATAGCCGTGAGGACACATGTCGTTTTCGGAAACGCAGTGGGAGAACTGGGCTGGGTTACCCCCACGTCCACGTGCAAACCTCCGGACACCTCTTAAGGACGTGCACTGTTCAACCAGCTCCAGGCACTTACACCCCAAGAAGAAGATGTTCTTGAACATGAAAACCGATATGGGCGTTTTGTAAACAAAGACGAGGAAACATCTGACCACCAAGAGTGGCCCGTTGAGCAGCACGCCGGTGAAGAACCTCGCCCATATCCAGCGACAGTTCATCTTTGAGGCCGTCAACTCGTAAAGCCAACAAACCGGGACGCCCAATGCGATGAAGTACGCGGATATAACCGTGTACCTAAGGTATATGTTGGAGATTTCGTTTTTAAGGAGCAGTTCCACCAGCGTGAAGCTGTCCAGGATGTCTAAGCAGGTGCTCATGAAGCAGCCTTGGGAGTGAAAGCGCGTGGCACCGTTGGGATCTTCGATGATGGAGTTGATGAGGCAGTAAAGCAAAGGCGCGCACAGCAGCATGGTTATTTTAAACCCGGTGATGCCAAATGGCACCTTCAGGGCGATCAGATCGAGGATGGATGTTTCCAGAACGAGCACCACTTTCGGGGTGGACGCGATCACGTAGATGAGCCATGCCAGATACGCGAAGGTGAACTCCCCGAGGTTGCATCCGAAGATGGAGCTCTTCTGGTGGAAACCACAAGCTCGTTCGCGCTTACTCCTGGCGTTCTTCATGAAGAAGATCGCCCATCCCGATATAACCACCAGATCCGTGGCTATCCATGAGCACCAGTAGAGATCCGTGAAGATGATGAGGTAGAAATCCAACATGCCTCCTTGGAGAACGAGCACGAGGAAACACAAGATCTTATAAAACAGGTTCTTATTAGACCTCTGCACGAACAGAGGGGTGGACTGCATGAATTCGCCCGATGTCATGGTGTAAGGCTGAGCTGTGGCTGAGGAGGAGACCAGGGGCTGGGAGCTGCCCTCCTCGAGGTTGGCGCTGCCGCTGGTGGTCTGCGTGTCCCTCCTGGACGCGACGCTTCGGATGAACAACAGCTGTCCGTTTTCTGGTGCTGAGGAGACGGGTGAGTCGGGCTGGGAGATGTCTTTTATGATTTCAGCAGTCATTGTATTCGTGCCTTATATTCCTGACTTGTTTTGGCTCTGCTGGTGTAATGCTAGCCGCTCAAGGGGGCAGAGGAGGAAACCCCGTTATGGAGTTGCGCTGGAATGGAATGTGGATTTACAGAATCCCTCCCAATTAAAAAGGATAAATAATGAACTAAGTGATGATTAAATATACGAATCTGATATTCGTTCAAAAACATGGATTCATGGTTTAAACATTTCATCTCCCCGTTTAAAATGATTGCAGGCTATTGGATTTATATTTTTCTTTTTTCGTGACAAGATTTGCTATTGATAGGCCTATACCTCTATTTCACCAAATAGCCGTTTAATAGTAATGTGCTTTAAATATTACAAAATAAATTATACAGGATAGAAATGATAGAAGAATATAAAAATGCAATAGTAAAAAAAAAAATTTCTTATCTGTAATTTACCTTACACTCTTAAAAATAAAGGTGCTTCAAAAGGTGCTTCAAGCGATGCCATAGAAGAACCATTTTTGGTTCCACAAAGAACCATTCAGTCAAAGGTTCTTTAAAGAACCATCTCTTTCTTAACTTTTTATAATCTGAAGAACCTTCTTTCGCCACAAAGAACCTTTTGTGAAACAGAAAGGTTCTTCAGATGTTAAAGGTTCTTTATGGAACCATTTAGACAAAAAGGTTCTTCTATGGCATCGTGAAGCACCTTTATTTTTAAGAGTGTACAATGCAAGCATATTACAATTATATTTTAAAAGACAATGAAATACGACTTTAGTTTGAATTAAAATGTGGGAAATTTTAATTGAAATGTGGAAAAATTAGACGTAAAAGGTATGAATTACCTTCACAAAATAAATTAATGTTTAACAAGATAATATTTATACTTGGTGAAGCCATGGTGAAAATATACATTTTAAAAAGTTTTATTAAAATTATTAGTAATTCTAATAATGTATAAAAAGGGGGCAATCTCAGAATAAAACCTGCCAAGTATTTTATTCAAAGATGCTGTTTCTGGAAAGATAATGTAGATAAAATAAGAATAATGTTGATATATATGATGTGCCTCTCACAAAACAGCTTCCATAAAAATGGAAAACAAGTCAAATGCAAAAGGCCTCTCCAAAGCAATACTTTTATAGACAGTCGCATTTGTCTTAAAGATGGTGTGCATTCAAGCGTAATCACTCACAGAAGCCTGATGTAGGACATCAGAAGCCTAGTATGAACATAATGAATATCATTATTTATAAGTCTGAGCATTGTTTCATTCAAAATGCTGCAGTTTGTTACAGTGTGTGTCGGCTGTATTCTTAATGCTGATTTGTAAAAGATTTTAATCTTATAACATTTAAACCATCGTTTTCTAAAAGTTTTTTGTAGGTATAACTACAAGAATTAATAAGACTTTTTTTTAACTGCCATCAACCTCCAATAAGACCACAGCATAACTGCTAAATTAAATACCATGACAGTAGGCTATTCTCCATTGCACAGAACTACAGAGGCAATTCAAATGCCCTGCATGGATACTTTATCTCGAAGGCTAAATATGACCAATCTGTCAATAACATTCACATAAAAATCCATAGACAACTAATAGTTTGATAATAAACTTTAATTTCAAGTTACATTGGATGGTTCTGAACCATAGAAAACAAGCACATTTCTGTATAAACATATGCATATCGACCAAGTTCGACAAGAACCGAATAACAATTGAGTGTTTGTGGTTTGCCTACTGCCAGCTGAGCTTAATATGCAATATTCACTGAAGCAAAACAGATTTACAATTAATGGACAGTTAAACTGATGAACATTCAGCTTCATATTTGAATGCATTTAAGTCTGCTTTTGGGAGTCCAGATTCACAAATTATCAGCGCACTCAGTTCGTAGGGACTTCCCATGGGATACCACAGCTAATAAGGTACAGCTAAACGGGTACAAAAAACAACAACTCAGTGGATATTTAATAGAGAGAGAAACAAAAGGACATTACATTTAAGGATAAATATCACGAGTTGTCCGTGTGAACGTTGACGAGTGCATTTGTGACCTCCAGGAAGCTCCCCGCCACCACCACCTCCCACCCAGTCAAAATCAGTGCATAAGAGGGATATTTCAAAAATATCAGAAGCATTGACAGCCACCAGTTAGTGAAGTCATACACAGTTGCTGTATCCTCACAGTCAATTAGAAACATGTCGAACCCACACCTGAGATAAACTCGGTAAGATTTGTTAGACATATCTTTCCAAGTTTATATACTGTATAACTTAGTGTCCTTTCTTGGATTTTTTTTTAATTACTTTTGTTTTTGCTCTTTATACTTATTCTAGTACATTAACCAAACATGGACAGACTCACATAATGGAGAAGGCTTTCTAGAAAATATTGTTTAGCACAAGAGCTATTTTTTAATGTCTTTTGACGTGTTTTATATTCATTTATTGAATTTGAAATGAATCGTTTTAATGGCCTGCTGAAAGGCACTGCCACAACACAGGGGAAAAAAGACGCTACTGCCCATCAGTCACACAAGACAGTCCTGTCTAGTTTCTAATAGGGATAGAAATAGAGTAAATAGGGACAAGGGTTAGTCTAGGAGGGAGTTAGCGAAGGACGGAAGGAGGCCTGCTATAGGTACAGCTCGTAGTAATCGTCCAGCTCTTCGTGGAACAAGTCCCACTCATCTTCGGAGTCGGTGACATCATCGTCGTTTCCGGCAGCCAGAAGCATGAGGAGCATCTCGCTGAGCTCGAACGTCACCATCTCGTCTTCGTTGTCGAAGGAGTCGCTGTTCTCCCGCTC